ATCGCATGAGTTGCGGACTGAAAACGTGAGAACGTTACCACCATCTGAATCATTACCTTTTGTAACAGCCAAACTATCAACTTCAGAGGATTTTTCCTTATCCTTCTTACGCTGCGGATAGTCTTTCCTGAAGTGCCCTTCCTTGGCATCTCAACACCTTCGTTTTGTTCTTAGACTTAAAATGATTTTTGCTGCCAAACCCTTCCTTTTGATTCGTTCTCACCCTAACAACCAGCCCTTCTGCCAAACTTTCTGTATTGCCTCAAATGCCCTTTTCTGCAATTCTTTTGATTTCAGAACTGCCTTCACGTCTTCCATGAACAAAGCAGTTCTACCATACATTATCGTATTGACAAAGTTCTCATACGAGGGTGGTAGAGGACACAACAAAATAATAGCCTGATCTTCATCCTCTATCTTGATATTAATATTATTCAAGTCCATGATGATACTATTTACCTTGTCGAGATGTTCTTTCAAAGACGAACCTTCATGCATCTGAAGAGTGAACAACCGCTTCTTTAGATACAAGCGGTTTGCAAGAGATTTCGTTATATTCTAGGACTCCAACTTATTCCACAGCCCATCCGCTGTAGTCTCTACAGTAAATTTTTTTTTTTAATAAGTAATAATGAAATAAAAGGGCGTTCAAAAGGGGAACGCGTCTCTTAAACAATAGTGGAACTGGGGGCTAAGCCCCAAAGAATCCAAAAAAGTAATTAAATCATTAGAAGAGCAGCAAAAACTCCTCTTCACATAATTGAAGAGAGAACGAATAATAAAAAGTTTCAGCGTTGCCGTAGACGACTCCTTCCCTTCGAACATTCTACTATTTATCTCCTTCCATATGCACCACCAAACGCAATGTGGGACAATTCTCCAGTAATCGCATACACCCCTACTCACACGACATCTTCTCTAAGCATGGGTCAAATCCTTAGAAGAACGTGGCGTTACCCAACGCATGCCAAACAACCCAAGAATAATATTCCAACAGTCGTGCGCCACGGGGCAATGCATTAAGGGATGATCAATTGACTCCCCATCTTGCTTACATAGGCAACATCAATTAACAAAACAATTTTCCCTCTTCCTCAAATTATCAATAGTCAGTATCTTACCCTAAACAACAGTCCATACAAAGAATGCCACCCTAGCTGGAGTCATAGAACGCCAAATGGTCTTCCACTGAAAGTCAAGGCTATCAAAATTAGACAGACATAAGAACATAGATCTTACTTCGAAATGACCGTGAGAAGAGGGAATCCATGTCAAATTGTCATAACCCCTGCCAACTCCCTCCTGCCAAAACAATTGATAAAAAAAAAACACTTACCTCGTCTAACACCCAATCCTGAAATGAACGCTGAAAATGCACGTCCCACGTAATCCCACTACTATCAAGCCGATAACAGTCAGCTACATAGGCATCTTTATCAATTGCAATACTGTATAATCTCGGAAATGTACGAGATAATGGCTGATCACCACACCAAAGATCTTCCCAAAAATGAACGCATCTGCCATCACGAACTTTGAATCTGATATGAGAGGAAAAGGCATCCTATCCCTTCCGAATGGATTTCCATAGAACCTCGTTACTCATGCACAACAAAATTGTACTGTGTGCTTTCTTCATAACCTTATCTTTGTCCTTAATCTTTTTTGGCAGTGCATCCTTCCCCTTCAGCGCCTTGAATAACCCTTGTTGAACCAACATAGCCAATATCCTAACCTGCCACATGTTGAAATTATTTTGCCGTTAAACTTCTCGTTTTCCATAAACTTGGACGCCATCCCTGCTTCGAACCGAAAGCTCTGATACTAGTTTGTTATGACAAACGTAGTGAACCAAGCAACAATTACGGAACACGACAAAAAAATAAACACATCACACAAAGAACACAAAGATTTATACGTGGTTCGGCAAAGCCTACGTCTACGGTGGAGATCCGGCGAAAGTCTTCACTATGTGTAAAAATGGAGATTACATGTTTCAGCCCCTCACTCTCAATTCTGTACGAATTTTAGTCTCTCTCACACCCCACTCCAAACCCTAAATGCCCTTATATATTGGGCTACAAGAGAGTACTAATTAAGGTCCACGACCCATGAATAGAAAGGGGTAAAAAGTTTTCCTCGAGGCAAGCCCCCAAACCCCTAAAGCTTTGGTGGGCTTGGGTCCATATAAAGCTTAACAAACGGGTCATAAATGGTTACAACGTGAGCCAGCACCAAATTCAGGCTATAACGTCACAGCTTGAATGAGATTATTCACTCATTCACAACCCTAGTATTTATAGATAAAAAGAGTACACGCTCATATTACAAGAAATCAAATCTAAATCAAATCTAAATCAAATCACAACATATTCTATAGCTATATGCGTAAATAAAGTCAAAACTCCTTGATTCATGGCTATCAAATCTCTGCTAATATGGTAAGTCATTCCATAAATTATAGCTATTATATCAGCTAACATATCTATGCTAACATGGTAACATATCTCTGCTAACAGTCCCCCTCAAGTTGGTATGTGGATATTTGAGATGCCCAACTTGGTTGGACAATGCATTCTCAAACACAATTTTGTTGACGCCCTTGGTAAGAATGCCTGCAAGCTGCTGAGAGCTAGTGACAAAAGGAGTGCAAATTTGACCAGAGATGATCTTCTCTCAAATGAAGTGACGGTCCACCTCTATATACTTAGTCATGTCATGCTAAACGGGTGGGATTTGTTGCAACAATGGCAGACTTGTTGTCACAGTAAAGTGAGAATGGAAGTGATACTGGAAGGCACAAATTTGTCATCAAGGTGTTCGGCCATAGCAACTCAAATAACCCAAGAGCCATAGCCCTATTCTCTGCCTCTGCACTAGATCGAGAGACAACATGCTGCTTCTTACTATGTTAAGTAACCAAGTTGCCACCAATAGTGGTATAGTAGCCCGAAGATGACCTTCTATTTGAAATTGATCCTGAATAGTTAGCATATGTCCAACCCTCAACACGTATGTGACTATGATTGGCAAACAAAATACCATGTACAAACTAAACTGGAGCATGGTAGTGACAGAGCGATTAGACCAAGCTCGAGGAGACTGCTTGAGGCCATACAGGGACCGACGAAGACGACAAACCATACCGGAATGAGCAGGAGAATGAAAGCTCGAAGGAAGAACCATATACACCTCCTCTTGCAAATCAACATTGAGAAAGGCATTCTTCTAACTGAAATAGAGGCCAAGATCGAATTGTTGCAATGGAAAATAATACACGGATGGTATTCATCTTGGTAATAGGAGCAAAAGTCTCTTGATAATCTATGCCATGAGTCTGAGCATAACCCTTGGCAACTAACCGGTCTTATAACGAGCAACTTACCCATCTGGATTATGCTTAACTGTAAACACCCAACGACAACCCACAACCTTTCGTCCAACAGGAAGCGGAACCATGTCCCAAGTTTGATTTTTCTTAAGCGCTTCCAATTCTTCTGCCATAGCATCCCGCCACTGAGGTTGTGCTAGTGCATCTGCAATACTAGAAGGAAGAGGAACCGAGGCAACAGAAACAAGAAAACTCGGATACGAGGGTGAGAGAGCACAATCAGAAGCAAAATTAGAAATAGGGTAAGTACAAGAACGTTTACCCTTCCGAAGAGTAATGAGGCGATCATCAAGGGAAACAATAGCTTGAGAAGGCGGAGCCGTTACCGAAGGAACAAGGTAGTCGATCGTGGGAGTAGAAGCTTGTACCTATTGTCTCCGACTATAAGCTCGTGGAAAAGGAACAATTCCCCCTGCTCGAGGGTATCACGAGGAGGAATAATAGAAGAAGAAACAGACAAAGGTGAGTTGAAGACGGAAGAAGGTGATCATCAATTGTGTTCAATGGGAATCACTCAGTTTGAGAACCAATTGAACCAATATAGTATGGTGTATGCTCAAAGAAAGAAACATCCATGGATATAAACCGCTGACGACTGGGAGGATGGTAACACCTTTAACCTTTTTGAGATTGAGAATAGCCCAAAAACACACACATCAAAGCCTTAGGGTCAAGCTTTGTACAAGTTTACCCCAACTGCTGAACAAAACACGCACACCCAAAGACTCGTGGAGGAACCAAAAAAAGAGATTGATCGGGATGTAGGATTGAGAGTGGGGCTGCAAAGTTAAGAACCCTGGAAGGGCTCTTTTTAATGATGTAGACAGCTGTAAGAACTGCATCTCCCCAAAATGATTGGGGAACATTCATGCCAATGCAAATTACTGTCGCTAAGTCAAGGATGTGGCGATTTTTTCTCTCGGAACGACCAGTTTGTTGAGGGGTTTTAACATTATACATCTGATGCTCAATCCCAAATTCTGTACATAACCGTTGTACCTCCCCATAAGTGTATTTCGTACTCTGGTCAGATATGACTTTTTTAATGGTACGACCATATCGAGTCTGAACCATTGTCAATTTTTTTTTTTCAAAATGTTCTAGACATTTTTTGTTTTCATAAGATAGACCCATGTAACACGGCTATGATCATCAATGAACCAACACAAAATATCAAAATCCAAGACTAGAAGTAGCTGGGGAAGGCCCCACACACGTCTGAATGAACAAGATCAAAAGGTGTTGAAGAAACAGTTTTATTACTACTGGTTGGATAATTGTTACGAATATGTTTAGCCAAGTGACACATCTCATAAGATAAATCTGAGATTGCCATGTTACAAAATAAGAAAGGAAACAAATATTTTAAATAACCAAAAGAAATATGTCCTAAACACATGTGCCAACTTTATCAATACATTTTGAATTTTTTTTCGGAGTTATAAAAATTTCTTCAGGCTTTTCCCAGATTTCCCTTTAGAAATGTAGGCTCCGACAGTGATTGGAGTATTCCTAGTCTCCCTTACAGTTGTAAGAAGACTTGTGTTTCTTTTTCTGTTTGCTTCAAGCGATATCAGAGCCTTTCCTCTAAGATCTGTGATTATTGCAGATCTATGGCTAGGCAAGGAAGCACGATAGCCACAAAAGAAGATGTTCAAAATTTGCAAAAAAATCTGCAACGTCAAATTTCTTGATTGAGCACTATATTAGAACAAATTTCTCCTCTAAATCTGGTCAGTAGGAGAGAGAGGAATCAACAAATGAATGCATATGAATTCGAATATTGGACAGAACAGACTACTGGAAAAAGAAGTCAGCATCATAAGTTGTCTAGAAGACCAAAACAGGGTGCTGCCACATTGGTTAAACAGCCGCAGAACACTTGGACAACAAAGAACAATACCAAGGAGTCTGAATTTTGGTACTACAGACATGAGGAGCTGAGATTCAAACCTGTCAAGTGTCCGATAATTTTAGATAATCGTGTAATCAATGCAAAGCAACTCATCACTGAGGAAGACATTGGAAATCATGCTGATTTTGACAATGCCAAATCAGCTTGGGATGAATTTGTTGGATGGGATGATGAAGAAGGTGAGACACTGCAGGAAAACTCAACTTTTTCACTTGAAGAATTTGACAAAAAGGAGGAGGAACATAAAGATGAAATTTCTTTCGTGAATGATGCAATTGAATCGAATAGCGCAACAACTGAAAATCAACCAGCCTACAACGAAGCTGAGATTGAAGACGACAAAAAGGCGGAGGACATCTAAGGAAGCAACCATCAACTTGTCTAAAGTTGCAGAAGCTGTCACTGGTCAACCTGCTCTTCATGGATTTCTCAACAATTGCTCTGCTAAAATCTTGCCTATTGCATTTCCTGGTCAGGGCTATGCCCGAGTCTTATGTTCTTATGATGATTTGCCTAAAACTCTAGTTGAAAATCTGAATCAGGGCATCTGCTGTCAAGAGCATGGATTTCCATCCAGTTCAACAAACTCTGTTTCTTCTTGCGACGAATGTTGGTAATGTTGCATCATGGGAAGCTGGTGGTAGGGAGGAGTGTGCTTCTAGAAATTTCAAGGTCTATGACATTGGATCGTGTTCAATGACTTTGCAGGCATCTTTGGCTAATGAGTATGCTGCATCAGTGAACAAAGTGATATGGAGTCCTGATGGCATCCTTTTGGGTGTGTAGCACATTCCAAGCACACTTTGCAGTTATATTCCTATCATACTGGTGAGGATGTCCAAAAGAATCTAGAGATTGATGCTCATGTTGATCTTGCTTTCTCTGATCCAAACCAACAGTTATGCTTCAGAACTTTTGGAGAGGACAAGACAACTAAGGTTTGGGATGTTGCTACTGGTTCTAGGCAATACACTACTTTTGAGGGTCATGAGGATGCTATTTATTATGTATGCGCACACAATAAGGAAAAAATTCAGTGCATCTTTTCAGCAGCTATTGAGGGTAAAAAGATTAAATCTGATTTGGCAATATCTTCTCATGGAGGAGAATCTGAAGATAAAAACAATGAACTTGCCGTGGTACATGGCACGACAAGCATTACATCAGTTTCAAGTTTCTGGAATAACTTCGTAAGAAATGAAGCTACTTTGTTCATGAGGTTGGAAAATCATGGATTCCATATTCATGACTCAATTTGGGATGATTTCTTGATGTGACATGACTTGGAGTCGTTGTCATTCAAAAATCAGATTAATTCGGATTTTGTTTCATGATATGTGTTCAAGCAAGCTTCAGAAACCTTCTAAATTTAAAGAAAGAGCTTGGGAAATTCATGATAAGATGCTTTTTGCTGGTGAAAGAAAATTATTGTGTTTTGTTCGAGTAAGGAAAAGAAGAAGGCAAGGATGGAAGACCTTATCCGGGTTTTTAGTAGATCGTGGTAAATTGCTTCAAACTCGAGGTTGAGTTTTCTTCAAGGAGGAGGGTCTGATGCAAATCAGTAATGGTGCTTTAGTTAGGATTGAGGCAGTCAATGGTGCCTTGAAAAGAATTTAGAGGCAACCAACACCCATATGGCTTCCTCTTTTGATGATGTCCAACAAGGAATAATCTCCTTGAATGACAAACTCGAAACTCTTACCCAGATTTTCACCCTTTCCTCCACCCCTGATGCAGCTCTTCAGGAACAAATAAATCAAATGACTATCGATTTAGCCAAACTTCAAAAAGCTAAAATGTCTGATTTATATCCACCAGATCCACCAGATCCTCCATCAAAGGATTCGGCGCTTCCCTCCGACGATACCTTTCCACCAGTTAACCCCTCTGTTGGCAAACCTACCCGTTACAAGGTTAAACCTTTGTTTTACGGACATGAAGACAAGGTCGAAATCCTTAAGGTCTTCTCTGAACCCTCTTCTTCTACTTATCGTGGAGATGATTATGAAAGCATCATAGATCAGCTCAATTGTTTACAAGCTTTATATGTCGACCCACAACTTACGTTCGACGAAAGCGCTCATATCATTACTCGAATGCGCCAGATCTCATTACAAAATGAGAATCTACTTACGCACTTTGGTTACACACCAAACGACAGCTCAAGTTCCTCTGACGAAGAAAATACATCCGAAGACGAACAAATTTACGCCTTTTCGGATAAGTCCGACTCTTCTGAAGAACTCGATGAAACCATTGAGGCCGATCCTATTCCGACTTCCTCTTCCGAGACCACCCTCGACGAAGTCCCCAAACCTACAAAAGGAAAAACCAAACAACGTCCATCTGAGACGATTCTAGACGAATCCTTCTATGGCGACTTTCCTACTGAAGACTTTCTCCCAGCCGAAGAAGTCTCTGGCTCAGGCCAAAAGACTGACGACGAAAAAGCCAAACCAGCTGAACCCAAAGTCTATACCTCCTCGTATAAATACGACTTTTCTACCGTCCCCACCTGGACAAGAAAAGATGACCTCAATAAGTTCCCCATTTCACAACATGGCACTTATTTGGACCTCACAAATGTTCCCTATAAAGACCATTTGAAAACTATAGACGAATGGGCACAGTCCTTAGCCATTCTAGTCAATAACTACAAAGGAACCTGGGAACGTGACCGCTTCCTTGATTACCTTTCAGCAACCCTCCAAGGTGATGCTCTCGACTGGCTTCGACAATGGGATCAAACTCCTTAAGGCCAACGACAAAAGGATGCCCTCTTAAATAACTTCGATAAAATCGATGGTGTTTTACGGGGTTTTGTCAAAATCCTTAAAGAAGAATTGGTTGGGCATACCGGTGAGCAACTCCTCACTGATGACGCAACATGTGCTCTTTCGAAAATCGAATTATGCAACATTTGCCAATTTCCAGAATACGTCAAGTTATTTACCAAATACTTTCGTAGACTCCCACCTAATGCGATCGAACATTGGTTACCCCAATTCTTTCACAAACTTCCGAATCCCTGGGATGAACTTGCAGCCAAAGGATATCCCGATTTCCTTGTTCGCATCCAAAAAACTGATAACATCGGTTTCCGAACAAATTTTGTCTATCGTCTCATCAATGAAAAATGTCTTGAGACCAAAGCCAAAAAACAGGCCAAAAACCAGATCAATGGCACTGCTGAAGGACAACGTTGTTGCGACAAGATTCTCCAGGAAACCTGGAAAATTGGTTGTGCTCCCTATAAGGCTACTCCTGCTAGACGCGCCCAACGCAAAACATTTCGTTGGAAAAAATGGAAAGGAAGGCGCCCTAAAGCCTCCAAGAAGTATGTTACACACACTACTTCTCCAAAACCCACACCAGGGAAAAAGAAAAAAGGATCCAAAAAATCCTCCAAAGCTTCAAAATCCATTGAAACAAAAAAGGATTGTAAATGCTATATTTGCAATGAAGCTGGTCATTATGCCACTAACTGCCCCCAAAAAGGCAAAAAGGCTTCCAAAATGGTAAAACGACTACAGACAGATAACCTCTGTGTAGTCTATGGTAGCGACATCACCGATCCCTCTACCATTCTGTATGAACTCTCAAGTAGTGTTTATACCAGTAGCTCTTCTAGTACCCCTACCAGTGATACAGAAGCCGGATCAGATGTTGACACTATCTGCATGATGAACCACACTCCTGCCAACACCGATGAAACTACTAACATCAAGCTTAGTGACATCATTGGCGAAGAAGTTCAGTTCACAAATGAACAATTGATTCAGTTCGATAAACTTCAAAGAATCAAAAAAGAAGAAGTTTACAAAACTTCCCGTTTTGCTATCTTTTCCAAACGAATTTTAGAACAATTCAGTGGAAATACAACCATTGACTACACAGCAAATGGTCAATGCGGTTTTAATATCCTCAGCAAGGATAAGGTTGAGCGATGGAAACAACAAAATCCTATTGCTCGTTATATTCATATTGGACTAGTGCAAATCAAGATCACTTCGCTGTTTCGACGCGGCACTGATCAACCACTAATTGCACTCCTCATGGACAATCGTTTTCATAAACCCGTTGATGCACTTATTGGCGGTGTTCAATCGAATTTGGTTAACAACCTCATCTGGTTTAAAATCAAACCAAATTTTTTCATTTCCCTGACGGACCCAAACATCGAAAAGGTCCTCCAAGTTAAACTCCAATTGTCCAAACTACAAATGGATTATGATTCACCTAGCCTTGGAATCCAGTGGAAAGTGCTCTATGAACTCACTAGAGAACCCGAAACTGCTACCGTTCCTACACTTGACTCCAAACTAGTCACCCTGTTTGAACCAAGACCTTTCGATACTATAATTGAGCCTAAACTTCTCAATTGGACAGATCTTGAGATCCCTAAAACTTGGTTATTTGATAACATCAATTCTGTACCCAAGTTACGTATCACAGAACCCACTATGGCTACAATACATGCTTCCGGTTCTAATCTTTATATTACAAATAAAGCAAAACCGCCTCAGCTACAACGCTCTGTATTTGAGAGAAATCCTGGATGGGAACGAATCCTTCCCCCACGAAAGTCCGCAGAGGTACCTCCTCACCGACGTTTCACTTGGACAGAAAAAGGCAAAGCTCCTGTCGATCCTCATGATGCTCCCTTTTTGCCTGGATCAACTCATAAACTTAACTCTGCAAAATTCTTCCATTTCCGCACCGGAAAAGATGAAATTTTAATTGCTCCTTCGCAAGGCAAAAAGCGAAAGTATACATATGTTAACGGCATTCTCAACTTCAAAGGATATAAACCCTATAGCCTTTGTGTTTTAATCGATACCGGTGCAACTACCAGTTGTTGTCGATATAATGCTCTGCCATCCGAAAAATGGCAGCAAATGAAACACCCCATTGGCGTTCAGGGCATTGATGCTGAAGCACCCTTAAATGTGATTCAGTTTAAAGCAAAAGACGTAGCAATCTGGCTTAATGATAAAAAATTCATTATCCCAAAAATCCTGTGTTTTCCATACATGCACGGTGATTTTATTTTAGGATGTAACTTTATCTATAGTTATCTTCCTTTACAGCTAAACGAAAAAACCATTTCGTTAACACTAAAAGATCAAACAGTCGTTGAAATCCCTATTCAGGAAAATTTAGCCTCTGTTTGTAATGAAAAGTTCTCTCCACCCAAAAGAGACTCAGACTTATTGGTGCTACAAGACACCCATTGGCTCTACAACTCACTTCGGCAAAACTTCGCTGAAAATCCACTTACCTTGTGGAAAAGAAGTCCTCGTTTCTGTCGACTGCAACTCAAAAATCGCAATGTCATCATTCGTGTTAAACCCATGATCTATCTACGCCGAGACATTGATGAATTTGATGCACAACTTCAAGACCTCCTTGAGAAAAAACTCATTGAGCGTACTCGCAGTCCACACAGCAGCCCTGCTTTTATGGTTAGAAACCATAGTGAAGTTAAACGTGGAAAAGCCCGCATGGTCATCAACTATAAAAGGCTCAATGAACATCTCATTTTCGATGGTTATTTTATCCCACGCAAAGATGTTCTCATTAATCAAACTCGAGGATCCACCATCTTTAGTAAGTTTGATTGTAAAGCAGGCTTTTGGCAAATCAAACTGCGAAAGAAGTCCAAACCACTCACGGCATTCAGTACTCCTCACGGCCACTACCAATGGACCGTTATGCCCTTTGGTCTTAACACAGCACCTCAAATCTATCAGCGTTGGATGGATTCTATCTTTAATGATCTTAAAGATTTTGTGGTTGTTTACATAGATGATATTTTAGTTTTCTCTAAAACAAGAGATGAGCATAAAAAACATCTACTCTGTCTTTCAGAAAAACTGAAAAAGTACGGCATCATTCTATCTCCAACCAAGATAGATGTTGAACAAGAATCTATTGATTTTCTGGGATTAGTTTTAACTCACAAAGGTATAAAACTACAGGACCATATAATCATTAAGATTCGTGATTTCCCTGACACTATTCAAGATAAAAAGCAACTTCAAAGTTTTTTGGGAATCTTGAATTATGGCCGCTCTTTTATTAAAGGGTTAGCTCAAAAAGAACTCCCTTTATTAAAGAAGCTACAGAAAAATGTCCCTTTTGATTGGACTGATAATGACACCACCATTATCCAACAGATCAAAGCCGATCTGGTCCATATCCCTGAAGTTTATTTTCCCCAAACAGGAGATAAACTTATTCTTGAAACAGATGCCTCCGAGCTCTGTTGGGGATGTGTCTTAAAAGCAATTCCTCAAGCACAATGGATTGATGACACCCCATCGTATCCCATGATCCGAGCTCGAAAAGCTCCCATCTCCAAACGCCTTCAAAACGAAGAGTTAATTTGCGGTTATAATTCTGGTAAATTTAAACCAAATGAACAGAATTATATTATTTATGAAAAAGAACTTCTGGCAATAAAATTGGCAATCAAACGATTTCATATTTATCTCGCTCCAGAAGATTTTATTATTCGAACGGATAACCAAGCCGTTAAAGATTTTCTAATCAATAAAAGAAATTGCTTAGACGGTCGCCGATTGAAATGGTATAATGTCATTGCTCAATATTCCTTTGCTATTGAACATATCAAAGGCACTAATAATTTTCTTGCAGATTTCCTGAGCAGAATTCCAGAGATATCTAACAAAGATTTATCTCTCCCTATGCATACAGATGGCTGATCGACTTACAGATACAGAAGGTTGGATTACCATAGCTAAAAAAGCTATATCCAAGCCAACTCCATCTCTACCAACTCCATCACAACCAAACAAATGGTTTGTGGTTTTTGCAGGTCACCAGCCTGGCATTTATGAAACCTGGAATGACTGTCACAAACAGCTTCGTTCGTTTACAGGCTCCTGCTTTAAAGCTTATGACACGCTTATAGAAGCCCAAACTGTTTTCTATAATGTGGGACAAGCTTCACAAAAAATGTTTTCCAAAACTCCAGATATTACAGAAATTAACAATTTCTATGATCCTGGACTTCCAAACAATTTTTATGATGAAATTAACAATGTTTGGAAAGCACATAAACTTTGTGCCAACAAGAAATTCAGACAACATCTGAGTTCTCTTACTGCCCTTATAGCTGAACAAGCAGCTATGACGGATGAGCTTAAAAAGCTCTGCATACAGATCTGTCTTACTATTGACTGGGAAAAAGATTTTTCACTTTCTCAAATAAATTATTTTCTCAAACTTGCCCAGTTGGTAGGAGAACAAGATTTTCCTCACAATACGTTTGCAAAAATCAATCGTATCTGTCTTCTTGAAAAAGCAAGAGACTTATTTCCTCCAGATCTCTTTCGGATTATCTATCGCAAGATTGAAGATCACTATGCTATAATAAAAAACTATTATGCAATGTTCATGAAGATATCAATACCTTTGATATGCTTTACAACGGTAAACGAGTCCCTAAGCTTACCTTTTTTATCATTCCTGGGATTGACTGGTCAATGGACCCTATTGATTGGGGATTAGTAAACAAAATTACATTTTCCTCCCATGATTCTTATCAATTTTTCCCAGCCATGATAAAATCCATGATTTACAAAGTAAGCAAACACTGGCAATACAGTCGTCATCTGACTTTTTGGATTTCCAGCTCTATTGGAAGTTACGAAAAAACTCGTTTCTTTCAACCCTATCAAATATGGTATCTCAAACTCACCGCACATGATGAGTACGAGCATAATCGACT